TTTTTTTTTTTACGTTTGATTTGTTTTTTTCAATTTCTTTGGGTTTATTAGTTGTTTATTTTGAGTTTTTTTCTCTGATCTTTTGTTTAAAAATTGATTTAAGGTTTAAGAAATAAATGACAACGACTGTTCTATCGAGGATTGGTGAGAAGACATTTTTCGATAACGGAGGCTGTGGTGGAATGTGAGCCTCGATATCTTCAATAACTGTGAGTGTGATTTTTTTCATCTCCACATTTAATGCTGCCTCGAAATATTTAACAACTTATAAGAAAATTTTATGAAATAATGTTTGACATAGATTTTTTTTTAAAACCCACTCTATTACGTACTCGACTAAATCATGGCACGTGCATTGCACGCACTTCTAACTAGTTATTACAAAAAATGTTGAAAATATGTAAATTGATTTCACCGTTTCTTTGCCTTCAATTTTCCTTGTTTTTGTTTAAATGGCACCATGTTGTTGAAGATAATATCGTTATGTTGGGAATTTACTTAATTATATACAGCAGAAAGGAAAATTAATCTTAATTCTCACAAATGATATGCTTTGTATTTGGAAAGAAATTGTGATAATAAATTATATATTTGTTGAGTTATGCAAATCCCTTTTCTTATCTTGAACACGAATAATCACAATTTTTAATTTACGACTGTCAAATTGTCTAGCCTCCATTGAAAATCCACACGAAGAATAATAATGACAGAATTAGAGTTTTGTTTTCATGTGCTAACAAGATTATGAATTGTTTGTTATAATTTCTCGAACTCTAACGAACTATTAATAGTAGTTCAAGTAAGCTTGGCATGTCTCTTAAACTTAACTCGATCCAAAGTTTAAATAATCCAATTAATTAAACTTGGACCATCAATTGATTAATTTTGCCTATTAATAAGTAATTCGATTAAATATTTGTTCAACACTTGTTAATTAATTAAGGGTTATGCTATATGTACATAATTTTTTACCTAATCTTTTACACCCCATTCACATTTGGAAGTGGGGACCACGAGCCGCATTTTTTAAAAAAACAT